CTGCGCTGCTGACATACGCCTTTGCGTATTTCTAACCATAGGGGATTTGCTCCCACACCTAGTAGTTTCGCTGAGAGCATCCCTTACACGAAGTCGCAGTGCCTCTAGCCCAGGCTGTTTTATATAGCTCCTCTGCCAACCACCACTTATGTTCACATTAAGGCATTTTATCAAGGACTTTGCGCCCATGGGACAGCACACTTGAAGGTCTGCCTCTCCAGCACCAGCAAGAATAGCTCAGATGTCACTACTACAATTTGCTAATAAGATTATAGCTTGTTTTCAGTAACACAGCAATCAGTTCATCAAGATCTTCCATTATGCAAGCAGCTCGGGGAGCAGCGTCATTTCGGGTTGTTTTGAAGAAGCCTGTTCTGCAAGTGATAAAGAGGACGTGCCGGGATAGCTCTGCGTGCGTGGAGTATTTCATACCAGACCCAGCTTTCCCTCACCCCAACAACAACAAGGCACTCCCCAGTTCCTGCCCTGGCATCCCCAGTGATACCAGAAAGACGAAACAGCGATCCTTTGCCCAGTGCTATGTGGAATGAAAGACTTGAATCCTGGAGCTTGTGCGTAACACGCTGCTTTAGCTTAGCACCTCCACAGCTTTCTGTGCTGAACCTGAACTCCAGAGGTTATCTCCACCACAGCACTGGGAATCCTGGGCTGCCTAGGGAAGAGTGTGGCCAGTAGGTGTAGGGAGGTCATTCTGTCCCCTCTGCTCTGCACTGGGGAGGCCACAACTGGGATTCTGCATCCAGTTCTGGGCTCCCCAGTTCTAGAGAGACAGGGAACTGCTGGAGAGAGTCCAGCAAAGGGCAACAAAGATGATGGAGGGATTGGAGCATGTCCATTACGAGGGAAGGCTCAAAGAGCTGGGACTCTTTAGCCTGGAGAAGAGAAGGCTGAGGGGAGACCTTATCTACGTTTACAAGTCTCTAAAGGGTGGGTTGAAGGAGGAGGGAGCCGGACTCTTTTCAGTGGTTCCCAGTGACAGGACAAGGGGCAACAGGCACAAGCTGGAACATGGGAAGTTCCATTCAAATATGAGGAAGAACTTCTTTCTGGTGAGGGTGCCAGAGCCCTGGAACAGGCTGCCCAGGGAGGGTGTGGAGTCCCCTTCTCTGGAGATCTTCAAGCCCCACCTGGATGCAGCTCTGAGTGATGTGCTCTGGGCAACCCTGCTTTGGCAGGGGAGTTGGGCTGGATGATCTCTAGAGGTCCATTCCAACTCTGACAATTCTGTGATTCCATGAAATAAAACACAGGTTGTAACTTACCTGACAATAAGTGTTTCTACCAAAATATTTAAGGGCAAAGAAACTCCATCTCAACATCTGGGTCTCGGGCCTTCATCGGGAGCAGACTTGTCTCCACTCTGTCTGGTAAGGGTCTAAACAAGCAAGCTAAGGAATAGCGAAATTTGCCTGTAATTACAGATCTGCCTGGAGGTGTCTGAGACCGAAACTCAGAGCAGAACAAACACCAGATTGATAAACCCATGCAGATACAGCCAAATTAAAAATATTCAAAGTCATTTTTAATTTAGTCTATTAGCTGGGTGTCTGTCCCATCACGCTAGAGTTTGTTTTGGCCTCAGAAGACATAACCCATGCTCTCTGTACATGTTTTTTGTTTCACTGTAAGGTCACTGCAGATGAGCTCGTTGTTCACTTTCCCTGCGTTAAGACGTTAAGCCAAACAGGAAAGGCCTTTCATTGACACGGAAATCCGGCCCCGAGAAAGGGGTACCTGGCCAAAACAAAGCTTTAGGAGTACTGTGATCTTTAAGGCAATTGTGAATTGATAAAGCCTGATCTGCCGGATGATTATAGGAGAATCTTTAATTAAAAGGTGACATTCTCATCCCGGTTTCCGTCTTCACACACTGAAGCCATGCTCATCTAAACACACAAGCAGCTTTGTCCCTTCGAGAGCCACAAAGACCCAGTCTGCCACTCAAGTTCCACCTATCAGCATGACACCAGGATGACAAGCCCCCCCGACCAGCCAGAACAGGGTGGCAAGCCCCACAGACCAGTGGCACTGGCTACAGAGAGGAGCTCCCACATCCTTGTCCTTACCCATCACCCCATCTCCAGCACAGATGTTGCCCCGGGCTCCCTCCAGCTGCTGCGAGGCTGAGCCTGTGCACGGGATTCCCACAAAGTGGCTGGCACAGACTCACTGCCCTTCGGTGACTTGGCTGTCACAGCCCTATAGCACACACGCCAGGGATCTTACCGAGGCCAGAATGAGTCAATACCTTCCAGTTACTGAGCACATCCTCAAAACATGCTACCGTTACATCAGACAGGACACCCTTACTTTATTTCCACCACCGCTGTGACTTTAGGCAAGATGCTCAACCTCCACACACCCAGCTTAGGGACAAAGAGGGCGAGGGACCACATGGCTTTCTGAGGAACGACTGTTAAGTGTGTTTGAATCCTCTATAAAAAGAGTGTGAACTTATTTTTTTGTGTGATCATTCATCAATGCAAAGGCTTTTTATAAAAGCGTAGTAAATATTTGTCCCACAACTTCTTGAACATTAAACTTGGACTAAATCAGGATGGTAGAACTCATGTCTTCCCGTAGCCCATTCTACCAGCTGTAGCTAGATCACAGCAGAGAATGAGTAATTGTAAGTTGTTGCTCAGATGGTAAATATTTGTCCCACAACTTCTTGAACATTAAACTTGGACTAAATCAGGATGGTAGAACTCATGTCTTCCCGTAGCCCATTCTACCAGCTGTAGCTAGATCACAGCAGAGAATGAGTAATTGTAAGTTGTTGCTCAGATGCATGGGAACAGGCAAGAGACTCTGCAGAGGTCACCAGAGTCACCTGGTGGCCAGCACAAAGGAAGGAGGGGTTGAGACATGTGCTGGAATCCAGCTATGCTTCACGCATGAGAGGTTTAGGGATGCAGGAAGACGAGAAGGACAGTCATAAGCTCCTTGCTTGTATTTCCCAGGTGAGAGTTATTACACATAAGACAAAATGCTTGGCAATTACATTGCCATGAAAAGCCTCCCCTTGGTTGAGATTTGTAATTAATTCTGTAACTAAGAACTGGAGTGCTGCCTGTGAGCCCAGAGCCACCAACACCAGCCACCCCATGCTTTACAACCCCAAGAGGAGGAGGAGGAAGATGAAGGGAGAGCTGGCTCAGCAATGGCTTTGTCTCAGCAGTGCTTTGGAGGCACGACACCCCCAGCGCTGGGTAATCCGGTAGGTGTCTTAATGGGAACCAACGAGCATCCCACAGTTACTGCTTCAAAAATAAACAGTCATTACTGTCAATTAATTAGAAAACCAGGATGGCTGGTGTATCATTGCCTTATTGTATAGGCATGTTTTAGATCAATCCTAGCAGAGAGGCTGTTACACATATACCTATGGGACGCGTTTCACCTGCTGGTGGGCCCAGAATGAACCGATGTGAATTGCCACTTGTTAGGAGTTAAGTGTTTTGGTCAAAGTTAGTGAGCAGATTTGGGGTTCATGCTGTAGCACCTCTTCAGACCTGGCCAGAGGTGTTCTGGCATCAGTACAGACACTGGAGCTCAACTAACTTGTTTGGCAAAAAACATAAGTTGTTACTGAATATTTTGATTTTTATCAAAGAACCTCCACAATACTCAAGGCGCCAGTCTAGTGCTCTTAGACATGGGTAATTTTAAAGTAATTTACCATATTATTCCTGTATCATTCTCCCTAAGATTAATTAATTTTTTTTTTAATATCCCAAATTTTGCCTGCAATCCTTTAGAGACTTCCTTTCTCAATTCTACATACAAGGTCAAGCAGACTAGGAAAAATGAGAACTCAGACAGCAACATGAAAGCATGAGTTTTGGTTAGAAATAAAATCACTGTGAATTCTCGCAAAACCAACAGGTTTTGATTACTGAAGCAGGGAGACATTCTGAAACTTGCTGCAAACTTCTAGGCTGAAGTCTTAAGTCATTTAATATTCTTTAAGCAAACAAACAGTACAGTGTTTGTCAAGCAAAGCAGTTCAATGTTTAGTTGTATCCTTTAGAATGTGCGCATTGCGCAATATTTATAAATATGCAGTTCTTACCTTCATACAGTTCTACAAATCACTGAACAGCCCTCAACCCCCTCAAGGCTGCCAGGGCAGTGTTACCGCTAAATCACAAGGAAACACACAGTCTGCATTTTAGCCCCCCCGGCTAGGGACACATCGCCACCCCAACTCTCTCCCCCCTAGGTCCCACCTCCACAGATTGTTGCACTCAATTATAGAGTTCATAAGTCTTAAGTCATTTAATATTCTTTAAGCAAACAAACAGTACTGTGTTTGTCAAGCAAAGCAGTTCAATGTTTAGTTGTATCCTTTAGAATGTGCGCATTGCGCAATATTTATAAATATGCAGTTCTTACCTTCATACAGTTCTACAAATCACTGAACAGCCCTCACCCCCCCCCAGGCTGCCGGGGCAGTGTTACCACTAAATCACAAGGAAACACACAGTCTGCATTTTAGCCCCCCCAGCTAGGCACGCATCGCCACCCCAACTCTCTCCCCCCTAGGTCCCACCTCCACAGATTGTTGCACTCAATTATAGAGTTTATAGAGAATCACAGAATCATTCAGGTTGGAAGAGACCCTTGGGATCATCGAGTCCAACCATCTACCCTACATGTTGCAATACATTCCAGAGATAGCCCTGTCTTCACGCTCTGCCCTGGCCCCCTTGTTCAGGGACAAGACCTGGAGTGCTCAATTAGCTCCTGCCTGAGACAGCTTTCTTCGGTGCCCTCCAAAAAGTGGGTTTTAATAGGTTTCATTTGAAGATCAAGGCAGTCAAAGCACAGTTTGAAAGAGCATATTACAGCCTGCTCACCTCCAGAAATTTCCCTTGTTTCTACCTCTCCTGCCCCAGGTACTGCCCTACCCCTACGCCCTGCCTTTGGGAGGGAGGGAGGAAAGCAGCCATCGCCCCGTACCCCGCGCTCTGTACCTGCTGAGGCTGGCTGGTCGGGCAGGCGCCAGCGCCACCCGGGGCCTGGGCATCCCAATTCTGGTGGCCCCAGAGCCACACACGCCACGCTTGTCCATGGTCCAGACGGGGAAGAGAGCGGCAGTCAGTCCATCCGTGCCCCTCTGCTGCTGGGCCCGATAAGGACGAGCGGCTCCTCGTCACCCACGGGGTGCCAGCGGGGTGGCCGTCAGCATCCTCTCCTCCCTCCCCACATCCATCCACCCGCCCGGGCGGAGCGAGCAGGAGTCACAGCAAATCCACCTCAGCCTTCAAGGCAGCGGTGCCCGAGGCCCAGCCGCCCACGCTGGGGACACAGGCGTGTCACAGCCCCCGGCCAGCACCCAGCCTTCAGAGTGACCAGACAGACACCAGCAAGGAGTTATTTCCAAGCCTGGGCTGAAGCTAAAGCTTGCTAAATATTAACTTGAGCCTCAGCCGCCTGAAAAAGTTAACTCCCCCGAGCAGCACTGGGAGGGAGGAGTCAAACAGAATATTTGCTCCTCAAAACTGCGCTTCTCTGAAGTAAGAAGAGCACGAAGTATCTGCCTGGGGACTCAGGGAGGGCAGCAAGCAACACAAGCGCTTATTAAAAAAGCAAATTCAGCATTTACTGCCATAGTTGAGCTGTGAGTAAATCCCAGCTGGATGGAAGACGCTGGTGTTGAAAGCGCAGCGTAACCCCGTAACACCCACAGAGGCTGTTTTGCAAGATCCAGAGCCGCCTTTAAAAATCTCAGCAACAAACAACACACGAGCGAGCGAAGAGTTAAAGCAATGAAATGTCTGTCTCCCTGCCACCCTGACAGGTTTTGTTCTTTCCTTGTTATTCTCTCCACCAAACCTCCTGTCACGGTGTTTCTGTAACTTCCCTTTCCTCTAACATTTACTATTCATAATCCTCAAGTTAAAGGGACAAACAAGGCGTTTATGTAAAGTTTCCTTAATGAAGACACACAAAGCTTCTCCAGTACAGGTGACAACCCTGCTCCTTGTTTCCAATACTCCCAGTAAGACTGGATCTATGGCTCAGGCTGCTTTGCCTGCAACAGCTTAAAGGGCAGCAGCAGCTATCTTAGGGGCAATCCCTCGTAAAAGCACGCAGAAGCTGTCTCACTTTGGTTCCTTACTCATGAATACAGCTGTTTTTCCAGCCACTGCTTCAGTCCAGCCGCTTTCACCCCACCTTGTGAACACGCAGCCGATTTGTCACAGGAGGAACAGTGCCCAAATTCCTCCACTCTCCCCTGCACAGAGCAGGATTAGCCCAAAACAACCTGCAGGCAGAGCCCTGGCTGCATCCAAGAGAGATCCCCTATTAACACCCTCTGGAGTATGTTAAATGACATCGGTTTTCCGTGGTTTAGGCACAACCCCGGCCCAGCTTCAGGCCCCCAGGGAGGCAGAAGGAGGGTAATTTGGTCTGGGACTCTTGCAACTCCCCACACTAAGTATGCAAAAATAGTCATGGGATGTTCTTCCTCCCTTCCCTCTTTCTGCTTACCCAAAATTCTTGCAAAATTTCCCCCCAAAGTTTAGGCCACCGTGCTAAAGGTGGGTCATTCTCCAGGTACTGAAGGTGCCCAAGGGAAAGCTCTTGTGTACAGCTGGAGTTAGAGCTGGCTTCCCCGGCTCACCCCTGTTTCCAACAGACTCACAGGCTTCGCACGTACATTGTGTGTTACATTTCTTATTTAGCTTATTCATTACAAGTGGTTCTAATAAGAATTGTAAGGAATCAAATTCAAATCTCAGTTATCCATACAGCTTCTCCTCCATCAGCTCTGAACCAAGAAAATCACAGAATCTACCAGTCTGAGAGAATCTCAGCTTGTGAAATTCAGTTATAATAAAAGCCCATCTGTGTGCCGCAGCTTTTACAACAGCACTGAATCATTCACAGGCAGCATATTATTAAAAAACACATGCAATAACAAAGACCTTAGCAATGTGCAAAAAGTAAATCAAAGCAATTCTGATGCTTCTATGCTGGTACAAGGGCAGTGGTTGCCACATAGCTACCTTGGACAGAAGGGTACACCACCGTATGTGGCCACACAAACTGCCCAGGGTTTAAGACACGGGAGGGAGAGGAAGGAGGAGACAACATCAAAAACATCTATGTGAGGAGATGTGGCTGCTCTAAGCTTCACTGTTTTTACAAACTCAGGAAAGCATTATTTCTCCCCAAGGAATGCCCAGCCTTTCCAAAAGGCTTCTCACCAAGTGCTCTGTGCCCCGAAAAAAGTGGTTGGGGTTCAGGCCATTCCTTCTCCTGTACACAAAAGCACATCTAAGCTGCCAGTACTACAAGTAGGTGGGCACAACAGCACACAACTACATTTCTTTTATCCCTCAACTGTGTTCCTTGTTATTTAATTTCTTTTAATAAGTTCAGCCAACTGCTTTTGGACCAGCAGATTTTCAGACAGACAGGCTGCCAGTCCCTTGTACAAGCAAGCTTCATCATTGCAGGTTTCTCATGCAGCAGTGATAATTCAGCCAGGCTTGTTGCACAACTGAGGCAAATTTAAAGTATACAGAATGAAAACAGAATTCTTTTACAGCACATTCAGCTTTGATTACTCATAGAAAGCAGTACACGAGCATTACTGAAAGTTTCAGATCTCTGTGGATAATAACAGCTGCACTACCATCTACAGCCTTTCACATATTCACTCCTGTCTGGACTTCGATTATTCATGGCGTTTGAAAGGAATAATCAGCAAGTTTATTTCCTAGCTTGTGCAAAAAAAGAGGTGGAGGAATAGGACATGAATGCAGCTGAGTCTGCATTTTCTGACAGAGCGAATCAAGATAAATACTCCAACTCAGTTTCAAGCTCTCCAGTACATTTCATGCTTCAGAACAGTCTTTCTAGCATCATCAGAGATGAGCCAAGCTCACTGGGACGAGATCATCTGGATCACAGGAGCTGAATCCTACTCAAATATGGAGACAAAGAGACATACCAATGCTCTCAGCAGCCAATTAGTTCAAATGAATCAGTGGTACAGACCCAGCTTTCGTGCATGAGCTATTTTTGAAGGCATCTACACATCCTGCCAAACTGACACAACTTGGCTCACTCAGTAAACCTGATTTTTTTTCAGAACCAAATAGGAGGGGGGGAAAACATTGAACGTGCTATTGGATAATTGGGAATCTCAGCTGGGCAAAGTGCGTGCAGGCCGGAGACCTAAATACTCCAGAAATCCTCTGCCAGACCGCAGGGACCCTGCCGGCCTGGGGAGATCTGCCTCTGAGCACTGCCTGGCAGAGCTCAGCAGTGGTGCCTTCAGGTCAGCTTGAACACAGTGTTCATGAGCTGCATCGCAAGACCTTATGGCAGCATTACATTTTTCAGTCATCACAAAAAGTAATTTGTTACCATGAAAATGAAATGCAAGTGGAAGACACTGCAATGTGAAGTAGAGTGGAAAAACCGGACCGTAGCTGAAATCCCTAACACGCAATTCTTTTTTCTCCAACAGGTTTATTTTTACAGACTTATGTAATGTTAGGAAAGTCTGAAAATAATTTATCCCCCCTCCACCCCATCACATATCAAGAAAATCCTCAAGTAGTGCTACCTATCCTTCATGTGGACCCATTAAGATTAAGAGATTATTACAGTTTCTGGAGTCACTGAGGCGGTGAGATTATCCAAGCCCCAGCTTGTTCCCAGGCTGCCAGGGAGTAGCACCCAGGCTGTGGCCCGGGGCGAAGCACTGAGCTGCACTCACAGCTGGGGAACCAGCTCCCAGCTCCCAGCCCCACAACACCCGCTGGCTCGGCTCTGCCCTGGCCCAGGAGAGATCCAACAAGCATCTCTCAACTCAACAGCTGCCAAGAAACAGCCACAGCAACACTCGGATCCTGCTTCTGCTCGTGACTTTACCTCATGAGATGAGACCTGATTTGTCATGCTACTGGGAGAGGTACAGGCATACCCACGGGAGCTGGGTATCATCCCAATGCAAGTAGAGAGGTCAGCATCACCTTCCCCAACTGCCCAGCTTCCTCCCTCACTTAGGGCAGCTCAGACCCAACAATAATGGTAAGACCCCCCCCTTACTGTAAAACCCAACCTGCTCGCAGCCACAAGCTGTATGTCAGAGCACATAAGCTGCTTTACTGCACCCAAGACTTGTGACAAAGAGAGGATTAGGACTTCAAGCAGCGGACAAACAGCGAGAACAGATGCTTCCTAAGCTAAGATTGTTTTCATGCAGATGGCTATTAATCATTTAAGAAAAAAAAAAACACGGGGCAAAGAAGGAAGTGCTGGTATCTGGTGGGATGCGATGCTGTAGTAGAGCAGGACCAGACAGCTGGCAGTCAAGCCAGAGCCACTTCACGGTGTTACCAGCAGCAGCTCTGAGCAGAGATCTCCACCAGACACGGGCCAATGGTTGGGTACATTCCTGCCTCCAGCTGCCCACTCCAGTTTATAATGTCATGGCTTGAAGGAGCAAAGGAGGAGGGGAAAAAAAAAGAAATAAAAAAATCACACACTCTTTAGACACAGATGTATATTTAGATAAGTGAACTGCAAAGTTGCTTAAACCTAATTACTACTGTAAATGTAATTTAAACCACCAAAACATTTCCACTGCTCAAGGAAGAGCTGTAACAATGGGAGGAAGCGCTAAGACACAGCAGCTATTCTTAATGCACAAAAACACTTATTCTGATGAATAACCAAGACTTACTAATTTAAATTGAGTATGTTTCTGCCTCCTGGGCATTTTCAGACTGTATAAAATTAGAAATCTTAGTGGGTTTCTGAGGATGACCTGGTTTACCTCCCTATTCAAACATACGCCTGACATGACCGGGTGCTGTGCTGCGCAAAAACCGTATCTTTCCTGCTGGACACTGAAGGCAGAAAGAAGCGACAGGCAGCAGATTAATAACCACCAAGCTGCTTGTTCACTTCCTTCAAACACAGGCACCTATTATCCCTGCAACCAGCTGCCAATGCTAGACATCACTTCTAAGGTGTGATGGAAGAGAGGCAGATGGGACGGAGGATCAGCAGCCAGGTCCCTCTCCGGCTGCAATGAGTAACCACCACCTCACGCCAGCCCAGCCATGTCTGTTGAGCTCACAGGGGACTGGAGTCCACGCTGCAGAAGAAGAATAAGCAGGAGCTCAAATTCCCAAGTTCATACCCCAGCCCACTCCACCAACCTCATTTTGATTTTTGCAAGTTGAATTTTCTGTTCCCTTCCGGGAAACGGATGGGGCAACAGAGCTACAAATAGAAAGAGTGACAGAAACGGACTTCTCTTACTCTGCTGCCCCAGTTCCCAGCCCAAAGATGTGATAGATTAGGTTGTCATCTTGTTTATTTCC